TATCTCCCCTAACCCCCCTATCTCTACCCCCCTCTCTCTCCCCCTATCTCTACCCCCCTCTCTCCCCTATCTCTACCCCCCTCTCTCCCCCTCTCTCTCCCACCCTATCTTTACCCCCCTCTCTATCTCCCCCTATCTCTACCCCCCTCTCTCTCTCCCCTATCTCTACCCCCCTCTCTCCCCCCTCTCTCTCCCCCTATCTCTACCCCCCTCTCCCATCCTATCTCTACCCCCCTCTCTCTCTCCCCTATCTCTACCCCCCTCTCTCTATCCCCTCTCTCTCCCCCTATCTCTACCCCCTTCTCTCTCCCCCTATCTCTACCCCCCTCTCTCCCCCTATCTCTACCCCCCTCTCTCTCCCCTACCTCTACCCCCCTCTCTCCCCCTCTCCCCCCCCCCCCCTATCTCTACCCCCCCTCTCTCTCCCCCTATCTCTACCCCCCTCTCTCTCCCCTATCTCTACCCCCCTCTCTCCCCCCCTCTCTCCCCCCCTATCTCTACCCCCCTCTCTCTCCCACCCTATCTCTACCCCCCTCTCTATCTCCCATCCTATCTCTACCCCCCTCTCTCTCTCCCTATCTCTACGCCCCTCTCTCCCCCTCTCTCTCCCCCTATCTCTACCCCCCTCTCTCTCTCCCTCTCTACCCCCCTATCTCTACCCCCCTCTCTCTCCCCTATCTCTACCCCCCTCTCTCTCCCCCTCTCTCTCCCCTCTCTCTCCCCCCCTCTCTCCCCCCTCTCTCTCCCCCTATCTCTACCCCTCTCTCTCCCCCTATCTCTACCCCCTCCTCCACCCCCCCCCATTGTCTAGCCCACCCACTGCACGTCCTTGTTTTTGTGTGACGCTTTCGTCCCTACACTGGCGCTGGCTGACGCCGCCCGTGCTGTTTGAGCCGCTCACTTTGAAGGGGAGCCTCACGAGCAGACGCCTTGGGAGGCTTTGCCCCCTCTTTCCTCTCCGCCTGATGAAGGCGCTTGTGTTGCGATCGAAACGTCGCGGGGAGTTTTTTTTGGCTTTCATTATTTCCAAGTTGTTATTTTTTTATTTTTTAAATTTTTTATTTTTTATATTTTTTTTATTTTTCCCCCCTATCTGGGGGACGTCCATAAATGACGTCACGCGTTTTGGACGATTTTTGACCCCCACCCCCACTCCTCGTCACACGGCGTCACAGAAAGTCAGACCCCCCCCTCCCTCAAATATGACGTCACAAAGCTCTGCCCCCCCCCACCCACCCCCCCCCAAAAAAACCATATTTCCATTTTGAAAATAAAACACGCTTCAAATCGCTTTGAACTATTGTCATTGTAGTGCGTATTGAATGTGGCGCTGCACTCTGATGTTGTACTGGAGTGTTGTTATAACAATTATATATTTATTTAAAGTTGCGCGTTTTTGATGTGACGTCACATTTCTCACCCCCCTCCCCCCCCCTCGTCACACATCGTCACAAATGTCTGACCCCTCCCCCCCCACCCCCTAGGTGCGTGACGTCATTTATGGACGGCCCCTAATATATTCAAACACCAAATATAAAGCTTTTGCAAGGTCTACAATTGGGTATTTAAACATCTTACCGCATGTTTTATTGCCAGAAAGGGTAACACTTTATTATTATTTCTCACAATTCATTAACTTTGCAACAACAACAACAACAAAAACTTTTACAAGGTTTATATCTTAACGCATGTTTTATCGAAGGATTATCAGTATTTATTATTTGTCATATTCGCTAACTTTGCAACAACAACAAAAACTGTTGCCAGTTTTATACGTGCTGTTTCAACATCTTACCGCATGTTTTATTGCCAGAAAGGGTAACACTTTATCATTATTCATTTTAGATTTAAAGCTTTCGTGACTGCAAGGATCCATACTCTGTGGGTTCTATTCGGTAAAGTCAAGTTAGTGGTACCCCAAACCCTTTTCACACCATCAATAGGTAAACTCCCCCTCTCCCCCCCGCGCCAACCAGCTTGTTCACCCGCATGTACACCACCTCCACACCGTTCATCATGCTAAGTCGGCCAATCAAATGCTAATTTTTTTATGCTAATTCCTTTGTCAAGGCACCTTGTTTCCCCGCACACAGCTTAAAGCTCCGCGGTCTGAGCGTGGCTGTGTTTCGCTCCAGCGCTGTCCTCGAGACGGCCTGATCCCTTCACCTGATGAAGGCCGCTTGTGTTGTGGCCGAAACGTCCGTGATTGTTGTTGTTTTATTTTTTTTACCTACGTGACCTTACCGAATAGAGCCAAAGAGTATTTTAATTTTGTGTGTTCCTTTTCGCTTTAAAGCTTTCGTGACTGCAGGGATTCACATTCTTGGTTCTTTCTGTAAAGTCACCACCACGTTAGAAGGGAAACAATAAAATAATAAAAATATAAAACAATAAAATTATTATTCTTGGTTCTTTCTGTAAAGTCACCACCACGTTAGAAGGGAAACAATAAAATAATGAAAATATAAAACAATAAAATTATTATTCTTGGTTCTTTCTGTAAAGTCACCACCACGTTAGAAGGGAAACAATAAAATAATAAAAATATAAAACTAATAAAATTATTATTCTTGGTTCTTTCTGTAAAGTCACCACCACGTTAGAAGGGAAACAATAAAATAATAAAAATATACAACAATAAAATTATTATTCTTGGTTCTTTCGGTAAAGTCACCACCACGTTAGAAGGGAAACAATAAAATAATGAAAATATAAAACAATAAAATTATTATTCTTGGTTCTTTCTGTAAAGTCACCACCACGTTAGAAGGGAAACAATAAAATAATAAAAATATAAAACAATAAAATTATTATTCTTGGTTCTTTCTGTAAAGTCACCACCACGTTAGAAGGGAAACAATAAAATAATAAAAATATAAAACAATAAAATTATTATTCTTGGTTCTTTCTGTAAAGTCACCACCACGTTAGAAGGGAAACAATAAAATAATAAAAATATAAAACAATAAAATTATTATTCTTGGTTCTTTCTGTAAAGTCACCACCACGTTAGAAGGGAAACAATAAAATAATAAAAATATAAAACAATAAAATTATTATTCCTGGTTCTTTCTGTAAAGTCACCACCACGTTAGAAGGGAAACAATAAAATAATAAAAATATAAAACAATAAAATTATTATTCTTGGTTCTTTCTGTAAAGTCACCACCACGTTAGAAGGGAAACAATAAAATAATAAAAATATAAAACAATAAAATTATTATTCCTGGTTCTTTCTGTAAAGTCACCACCACGTTAGAAGGGAAACAATAAAATAATAAAAATATAAAACAATACAATTATTATTCTTGGTTCTTTCTGTAAAGTCACCACCACGTTAGAAGGGAAACAATAAAATAATGAAAGTATAAAACGTAATAAAATTCTCGCGACGTTTCGGCCACAACGCAAAGCAGCAGTCCTCAGGTGAAGAACGAGATGCTGTCGCGAAAGACGGCGTCTTAATTCAGTTTCATCTCATTCGTTTCGGTACACCCCTGTGAGCCATTCGGCTCTTGAATCGGGTGCAACCGCTAAAACAATAAAACACAAAAACACGAACAATAATAAAAAAACAGCATCTTAAAGTGACTACGTGTGTGACTTTGTGCAAGACAAGAAAATCCATGGTGGGGAAAGAAAAAAAAACAGCGAAATATTACCCGAAAAAGCACCGTACACCAACGCTGTGTGCATAAAAAAAAATCCCTTAATGAACACTGCTAAGCTTGGCAGCGTATTTTAAGCTGGGTGGGAGGATGAGGAGGAGGAGGAGAGATCCTTGACAAAGGAGTTTACATATCAACAGAGGCAATTTAGCATTTTGATGACAAATGCAGATATGGGGTTAGTCACTGCTTGTGGAATGTGTAGGCGGTGGTGGTGGTGGTGGGGGGGTGGTCTCAAAGTCATATTTTGCTAGTGTATCATGTAGGATTAGCAGTAATAAACGGAGGGAAATTTTAATAATAGTGAACTGCAGCCGCTTTTAAACACCGCGCATCAAGCTCGTGCATTTCGATT